TATTCAATTAAACGTTCTATTGCACAACATATAACGACAAAAAATTAGTTCTAAATTATCTTTTGTGCTCATTAAAAAACTAAAAAATAAAAACACGAGTATAGTTTTAAATATTATTTTATTTCATAAAATATTATAATATTTATTCTAAATAATCTCCTACCTATTATGTTCATATTCTTTGGCTTTCTAAATGTGTTTAATATTTCTATATAAAAAAAAAATAAACGAACGATTTATTAGTAAACTGAAATTGGCAAAAAAAAAAAAAATTTAAAAAAAGAAATGGAATCACTAACTCACCGGTGACCCCGATCGCAATCAATAGTGGTGCCAACTGTCAAAATTATCAGTATCATCCTCCTTCCTCCTGACATATGATAAACAATACATAAACAAATACAGGAAGGACTGCGATGTTACATCTCTCTCTGTCTCTCCATTGAAGAGCTGCAAATCCAGCAGCTCAACTAAAGGACTCGAAATTTGTTCCTGGGCTTTTGTTAAGGATACCTTTATAGTAAGGTGAGACAAAAAGGAAAAAGAAAAAAAGGGAAACCATTTGTTTTTCACTTATGTAGTTATCTCTAGGATGATTTTTAGCAAGTTTTAGCTTTCAAAATCAAAGCTTTGGGTGAACAGGATTGCTGCTCGTGGCTTAGATCTGCATAGGAATATTATTGTTTTGTTAACCCCTGTTGGATAATTAAATGGTTTAAAATCATTTCGTCGGGTTAGTTTTCCCTGCACAATTTTGCTGGTATATTAATGTATGCTTGCAAAAAGATTCGATTTTCTCAATGGATTGCTTTGCCATGATCTGTTTAACTTATTTTTTGCTGCTTCGAGATTGTGAATCTGTTGCTTATATCGGGGCTTATGATGAATCTTGGAAATTTTTGTGCTTTGGGTGGTTTCATGGAGTGGACTATTTAAGAGTTTTGCTTCGTAACGGGTCAGGTAATCTGTTTGTACGGGCTTGGTTTGATTTCGAGTACATTTCTTTACGGGGAAATGAAGTTTGATATGCAATTCTGTCACAATACTTTCGTGCTGCCGAATCGACCTCTGTGTGTTTCCGTATTGATAATTTTCATTAACTCTATAAGTGAACACATATTGAGATTCGGTGAAGTTTTAACAGCATACTTCAAAATCCCTCTTCATTTTTTTGATGTTTAGACACCAAGAAGTCTAATTTAAAGTTGTCTATTTCTCGTTGTTTCCTTTATACCTCTGAATTTTACATATATCTGGATTCTGTTGCCATTCTGAAATTATTTTCTGAAAACAGATCATCTTGATATAGCCTCGATAATTGCTCAAGCATTTGTTTTCAGTCCAGAAGAAGCAGAGAATGGTCACAAGGTTCATTTTCTCTCGGTCTCTGTCAATGTATGTGTATCTCATTTTAACTATCGTGAATTAACTTTTATTTTTATTTTTTAATTAACAGGCATGGAGCATTTTGATGTGCACAAAATACAATGTCACAGTGCGTAGAGGGGATTAAGCATTTAGGTGCTTCCCTGCTGCGATGTTGTGATCTTGACTTTAATAGGCAATCAAGAGGCCTTGAAGATCCTGAAATCCTTGCAAGAGAGACTGTCTGTATGCTTTTAGCCTATATCTTGACTTCATCCCTGCGTTAATTGTGAAAACTAATATGAAGAGATAATGGAGGCTATGAAGCTGTTATTCTTGATGTTATTACTGGTGCCTTTTTAAAAAAAAAAAAAAAAAAAATTCCCTCTACCCTGATTATTCATTCATTTTTTAGGCCTCTAGACTTATTTTGTTGTTACAACTCCCATTTAATCCTGGCTTGGACTTTCCTTTTTTTAAAAAAAAAAAAAAAGGCTAAACTTTACATTTCAGTTATGGGCGCATGTTTCTTTTTCTCCTCTGTCTCATGTTTCCAATCCACTCTGGGGTCTCTTTTTCTTTTTCATGGGTTACAAGAACCTGTTTAATCTTTCTGAGATAAAGTTGTCGTTCAACACTTGGTCTCCGCCAGTTCCAAATTTAACTTTGTGGGGCTTGAATGCAGAAATTAGGGAACTGGGAATGTGTTATATCTTGAATAAGTTCTCTTCTAATCTTATGTGGTGAAGCTGTCCTGTTATTTATGATAACTTCTCTGTAGGGCTTAATGAAAATTACATGACCTGATGGTGGAACTAAAGATTGAGTCTACTTGGCTATTTTCCTTGCTTACAATTGAATAACCACTAGCCCTGCTCTTTAATGATTCATTCTTTTTAATGTGTAGTTAGTGTAAGCGAAATTGAAGCACTATATGAGCTCTTTAAGAAGATCAGCAGTGCTGTGATTGATGACGGGCTGATCAACAAGGTACAAAAACATCTCTCTTGAAGTTAAATTTTCTTGTGCTGGGCAAACCAATTGCTCATCAACCGACTTACTCTTTTTTTTTTTAATAGTAATTGAACTGTAATCGGTATCTGCTCATTTAACCTTAATTCCATCTCTTAAATTCTATATTGCAGGAAGAGTTTCAGTTGGCATTATTCAAGACAAACAAAAAAGAAAGCCTGTTTGCAGATAGGGTATTTTCTTGAGAACAAATATTATAGTTTGCTAAATTTCCTTTTCTCAATAAAATCGTTTAGTTTGTTAAACTTTTCTTCTTTAGCTCGGGAAAGCTTAAAATGTGTTAATTGCTGGTGTCGGTTTTATTGCTTCTGGGTTGAAATTCCTGCAGACATGTGCATGCTTTTATACCTCTTCGAATTTTCTAGGAGAACAATGTGATGAGTTATCTCTGTTCTGCATATTAGATTGCAATTTGACTTTTTTTTTACTACTTTCTTGTTTTTCTTCCAATTAAGTATTTCGAAGACTTTTCTCAAAAGCTGTTTAAACTTCCAATACCTTATTAATTGCAGGTGTTTGATTTGTTTGATACGAAGCATAATGGAATCCTTGGGTTTGAGGAGTTTGCTCGTGCGCTCTCTGTGTTTCACCCCCATGCCCCAATTGATGATAAAATTGATTGTATGTCACTTAATATGTTTTTATATTGGTAAAAACCTATTTCTGATTCTTTGCGTTCTAACATTAGCTACAATCATATTCTCTGTTTTGCAGTTTCCTTTCAACTATATGATCTTAAACAACAAGGTTTCATTGAGAGGCAAGAGGTAGTTAATAATCTACTTTAAATTCCACTTCCCAAAAGGATGTTGATTTTATGTCTGAGGAAGAAATTTTTACAATGATTTAAACTTTATGTTTCAAAGTTTGGTTGTTGCCTCTTAAGCTTTTACTTCTCGTTAACATGAACATGAACAATTGAGGTGCCATGAGTTTTGAATTGACTTCTGAATATGTAGGTGAAGCAAATGGTTGTTGCCACCCTCGCTGAATCTGGTATGAACCTTTCGGATGACGTTATTGAGAGTATAATCGATAAGGTGCCTCCTCATTCTTCTTGATTGACTTTCAAAACTTAATGCCCTTTTCTATCCTTGGGGATGGAAGTGGGTTTCCCTTTTTATTATTATCTTAGTGCTTATACTTGCGAAGGCTATTATCTGGTCCGCCTGTCATGTTCCAAGATCAAGACCTCGACCTACATTGAAAGAAACATAAAAAGAGAGGAGGAGGAGGAGGAGGAGGAGGAGGAGGGGGTGGGAAGGAAGTGCCAAAAGCAAATGATGCATTCTACCTAGGATTTGGCAATATGCTTTCTCAAGAAGAAATAGTCATTATTAGGGAGAACAACGTATGAAGTAGCTAATGCTTCTTAGTGAATAAGGTCTGCAAAAACTTGATATTTCAATTAGAAATTGGCAAACCTACAAGATTGTGGACTAGTGTTTGGTATCTGTTTGGCTTGTGGACGTTCACATGTTATAGTACATTAAATTCATCTGATCTGTGTCATGTTATGCTATTTATTAAGTTTCTTTTCTTCGTTGTAGGCTGAACATTTGCTTTACTTGAAAAAGAGTATCCTGACTGAAGCTAACTTCTCAGGATTGCAATGTTGTTATATGTGTGATTTCCTACATGATTTTATTAATGCTTACAAGATGGCAGCCTTTTAGAAGGCTATATTCCCCAAGAATACTTGTACATGTGTAATTGAAATTTAGATTCCTTTCCTCGTTTTAACCTTTTCTTTTTCAGACCTTTGAGGAAGCTGATACTAAGCATGATGGGAGGATTGACAAGGAAGAATGGAGAAGTCTTGTCTTACGGCATCCTTCTCTTCTCAAGAATATGACCCTTCAATATCTCAAGTAGGTTCACGCTCTTATGCCTGCATTTCTCCATTTCGAATTGGTCAAGTTTTGCCCAATATATTTCTGATCTATCTGCATAAAAAATCAAAAAGTTTAATGCAAAAAGTGTTAACTATCTCATGACATATTCTATTGGTTGTTGCTATACTTTGTCTGCATGTCTTGAGTTTCTGAAATTAACTTGAGGGACAAACTTTTCTTGCAAAGGCTTCAATTTATGCGAACACCTTTATCCGGAGAGTTTGACCTAGAACTGTTGCTGTTGGAGAAGTGTTCCTTTCTGATACATCTTTCTCTTTGCATGATGAAGAGTAGAGGAGCTTAACTATTTTTGCATGCCTTCGAGAGTAGTCGAGCTATATGAGAGAGCCTCGTTTATTTCCTAGTGGTTGACATCACATTCCTCTTTTCAACAGGGACATCACTACCACATTCCCGAGCTTTGTGTTTCATTCAAGAGTTGAGGACACCTGATTGCAGATTGGGTTTTTTGAGTTTATTAGGCGGTTATGTAGAAAGTTTGGTTTGTTATTAAATGCGCAGTGCCTGCCCTGACCTTGATAATCAGCTTATTGGCTCGTTTGTTTCAGTATTGACATTTGATACATAAAATTCGTGGGTTTGATTCTTTTGCTCCTTAAGTTAGACGCCTTGATGCCTGGATTGGTAGCAGTTTACAGAGCTTTTCGCCAAGAACTAGATAAAATTTTCATAATCTTGAACCCAGTATGATAAAAACTGAAAAAGTTTCATATAAAAGTAAGTGCTCAAACATTTGGTGACGAAATTAGTCACACAAGAGCTTCCCATTAACTAAAACCAAACTATAAGCTACTGGACTGAAAAAGCAAACTCAGACTCAAAAGTACTGCTACTGCAGGAGCTTGAAGAACATAATAATAAAGTTGATAAGACTTGTTCAATGATGGCAACGCAATTTCCAGAAAAGATCAGCTTGCAACCAATCCACTATCATGCGGTAAGCCTCCTGTGTTAAATGAATTCCATCCCAGCTGACGTATCTTTCGGGATCACGGCAAGCCTTAACGCCTGGAAATCCACACATTCGCGTCTCATTGAAGTTGTACTGCCCTCCAACTCCACAACAAGCTTTGTGCAGCTCAAAACCTAAAAGACAAAACAAATCAGACGACCAGATGTGGATGCTTCAGATGCCCCTTTCTCCTACTGGAAATAATTTATTTCTTTTAAGAATTCAAAATGGTAAATGCCAACTAAGCATACCTTTAGTTTCACCTAGTTTGAGAAGCTGTTCATATGCAGCGTAGTAGTCTCCATAGACGATTGTTACATAAGGGTACTTGTCTTGCAGCTCAGCAATCGCCTTCTTCAGGTGATTATTGTGGAAAGTTGCAAAGCTGTTCAATAGCCATATGCAATGATTCTCGTCGAACTCGTCTACCTCGCTTTCTAGCCCAAACTTTGTAAGATAAATTGGCAGACATCCCATTGGAAAGTTCCCAGGAACCACTATTGTCCTTGCTCCAAAACTAATGACTTTCTGAAATACAGCATTGAAAGAAAAGGAGAAGCAATTAGAAGCAAGAGAACTCAAAGCAGCAAGAGTGCTAATAAGAAGAGGAGGGGCCTGCAAAAGCTAACCTCAACAGCATGCTTAATTTTGGCAACAACTAGAGGTACCAACTCTTGAATTCTAAGCGTATCTCTAGCCTCATCAAAGTACTGAAGGAATGCATAATTATAATCGTTGCCTCCGATTTCACCCACCATAAATAGAGCTTTTTGAAGCTTCCTTTCACAATCTGTTAAACAAAAAGAAAAGGGACAAAATTCAGTGTCATGCCAAAAAAAAAAAAGTTAATAAAAGTTGAGAAAAGTTGAATGGCTGTCACGATCGAATGCGTGACGCATATATAAAATTTGAATATACCGTTGTGACAAAATTTGTGAAAGTGATCGTTCATCCACTGAAGCTGTACGTCAAGGGAACTGTTGGTCGCTGGATTTCTAACATGATGACGAGCGAGAACAGCTGATGATAGTGTCGTAGCACCGGCTACGGCAAAATTTGCTCCATGCTCAAAATTCGCCTTTGTATCCTTGATCGGATTCAGAAGAGGTAGACCCAGCGCCTGGGCTGTGTTAAAACAACGATCCAAACAAATATTCAGTTAGCGGATGTGATTATGACAGCCTACATAAACAAAAGGCATAATACACTTTGGTTTGGTAGCCCAAACATAAAAACTAAGTAAACATCGATGATGAATCACCACTAGGAACATCAGCGGAAGATTGCAGATAAACATCATGCTGCAGGGTTAACCAGTATGACTAAATGGATAATTAGGGCAAGAATTGTGCATTGTTTTCAGTTAAGGCAGCCAAGAACTGGAATAATAATATTCTGGATAATTTACAGTCTAAATTTCCTTGTAACACACCAAACGGCGATAGTTCGAATTCTTTCCATCATGCATGCAACTCATTGGCATCTACGTCCTCCACGCAAATTATTTATTACAAAATAAAAAAAGAAAGAAAGAAAGAAATCCTTTACCAGATTTTGTCGCGGAAAAGAAAATCAGATATAGAGTGAGTTGATAAAAAGCAAAGCTCTATATCAAGCGTTCAAAACAAGAATAAACCATACGAAGAAAAGATTAAAATAGCCTGAATTGTGAAACACACACACACACACACACACAAATATAAAATAGCTAATATATATATACCAATGTAGTCAATCATAAGAAGTCCATCAGAGCAACGGCCGGTGGCTTTGTGGTGGGAGAAGGTCTGACCGTAGGGGTTTCTGGCGAAAGGTAAAGCGGCTCCAAGTGGAGATTCCCTGATCAAATTCCCAGTGTCTGATATGGAGTCCCCAAGTTGGTACACCTGATCAAAACGGCAGGCACTCAGGAGAGGACTAGCATCAGCGGATGGTGAGGGAGAAAGGAGCAGCAAAGCAGATGCAATAACAAAGAAAACAGCACCAATGCTCGTGCCCTTGACTCCCATTATTGCTCAGAAAACAGCCAAAAAAAGTTTAACTATGTAATATTACTGCTCAGTGGTACTATCAAGGTTGCTTGCTAGGTGATTATATAGGACTGAGACCAAAGTGTTACAAACCTGTTGGAACTTGGATCAAAACTTCGAATCCTAGCAGGATTTGTTCTGCAGATGTCAAACCAAAGCAAAAAACAACCAAAGTAGCACTACACAAAAATACAATAAGCAGTTTTCTAGACGGAATTGACTTGTTTTTAGATTAAGGTCTCTGATCCTGCTTTTGTCGATCAACTTACAGCTCTAGCCCCAATTCTACTAGGATTCAAGCATGAGGTGCAATTCCACTAGGGATTGAAGTACATAGAAGTTGTGATGAGACAAACACCTTTTCTTTACAAACTAAACTACATTTTATTCCAGACCACCTGTAATTCAAGTTTGACCAACATAATACTATATGATTTTATTTTTTTTTCCAGCTCAACATGTCGTAATTACTAAAAAATCAAATTTTTAATTCTTAACAAGGCTAAAATGGATGTACATTTTGACCCAGATGCCCTTGATCCTGACGACGAGTCCGCATTTTATCTACAACTCTAAAAGATAAGCGAGTCCAATGTTGGTTCATTCTGGAAAAGAGAGAACGGAATATTATTGGCTCAAAGATTGGTTAAATAATAGTTTTGTACCCAACCAACAAGTGCTCGCTTGAGCTGCTGATCAAATTGCAAATTCAACTGCGTATGAGACACTTTGAGAACTTAAAGATCAAATTGTAAAATATAAAACGCCTCCGGCTCCAGATGTTGCAATTCTTTTATTCTGGACTTCATAGTCTCCGTACATTGGAATAATTTTTTCGGAGATGTTAATGAAATTAGAACGCTAACCCAAGTTCGCATAAACTTTGACTCATTTTCAAGCGGAAGTTAAAGCTTTAGTTTGATTCAGGACTGGATTCAGGAGATTATTATCAGGTCTTCCAATTTCAAGCTGGAGGTGGGAATAGCGGTGGAGATCCTGCGGGCAAAGATGTGAGAGGCGTGATTCGTTTGGGACTTCCTCTCTCGTCTCATCTTCATTTTTGGTCCCCTTTATGCCATTTTATACTATTATTCTTTTTGTTGAACTTAGCTAAGGCATGAGAAAGAGGACAAAGTTCATTTGACCTCTTTGGGCAATTAATTTCTCAAACTTCCGCTTGCAATGTCACTCGCTCTTCTTCATGAATTTGTTTCAAAAGAGTAAAGAACGGAGACTTGAACCGCCTGATTATAATGGCCAGCTTGGTTTCCTGTCTCTGTATTATACAGTTTTCCACGAGAAAAGAGACATATATCTACAGTGCTCAAGAGAAGTGTCCACCTGTGCGCTCAAATTAATTATAATATGCATAGACTCGAACCCTTCAACAGAAACAACCTCAACCACAGAAGGGCGGAAGAAAATTCTGTATTGCTATTGGTTGGCCAGAAAGATAACATCGATTCCATGGACAGACCAATCCACTAGGCAAAAAAAAAAACATGAACCTAGGTAAATTTATATAAAAGCCACCAAAAACTACCAATATCCAAAAAAAAACAGCATTCAAAAGACAGTAGTAACATAACTACTCGGGTGTTTCATCTCAGTTTTGACGCCTAAAATTAAAATAACAAACATTCACTGTTCGTTCGAGATGTGCTTTTCAAGGGTTACTTCAGTCAACTTCCTCCATCTTGCTGCCCTCTGCATCTGCATCACCTTCCTCCAGTGCAGGCATGTCTTCATCAGCGTCACCAGCATCATCATCAATGCTCAAGCCAAGCTTCAACATCCTGTGAATGCGGTTGCCAAAGGTGTTGGGCTCATCAAGGCTGAAACCTGAGGTGAGAAGGGCAGTCTCAAACAACAAGAGAACCAAATCCTTCACTGATTTGTCATTTTTGTCAGCATCAGCCCTTTTTCCGAGCTCTTCCATGATAGGGTTTTCAGGGTTAATCTCCATTGTCTTCTTGCTGGACATGTACCCAGCCATACTTGAGTCCCTCAGAGCTTGTGCCTTCATAATCCTCTCCATGTTGGCTGTCCAGCCATACTCTCCAGTAACCAAACAGCAGGGTGAGTCCACAACACGGTCAGAAACAATTACCTTCTCAACCTTGTCACCAAGAACATCCTTGATCACCTTGCAAAGACCCTCAAACTTCTCCTTCAAAGTTTCCTTCTTCTTCTTCTCATCCTCACTCTCATCAAGCTTGAGGCCTTCCTTGGTGGCAGAAACCAGCTTCTTTCCCTCAAATTCCTTAAGTTGACCAACAGCATACTCATCAATAGCGTCAACCATGAACAGGACCTCATAACCCTTCTTCTTCAACTTCTCAAGGAAGGGAGAGTTCTCAACAGCCTTCTTGCTCTCACCAGTAATATAGTAAATATCATTCTGTCCCTCCTTCATCCTGGTAACATAGTCCTTCAAGCTAGTCAGCTCGTCACCACTCTTGGTGGAGTGATAACGCAGAAGTTCAGCAAGCTTAGTCTTGTTCTGAGAATCCTCATGGATGCCAAGCTTGAGGTTCTTTGAGAATGCCTCATAGAATTTGTTGTAGTCTTCCTTGTTCTCGGCAATCTCAAAGAAAAGCTCAATGCACTTCTTAACCAAGTTCTTGCGAATGACCTTCAAGATTTTGTTCTGCTGCAACATCTCACGAGAAATGTTGAGAGGAAGATCCTCAGAATCTACAATACCCTTCACGAAGCTCAAATATTCAGGAATCAACTCCTCACAGTTGTCCATAATGAACACACGGCGGACATAAAGCTTAATGTTGTTAGGTTTCTTCCTGGTATCAAACAGATCAAAAGGTGCCCTCTTAGGAACAAAGAGAATAGCCTTGAATTCAAGCTGGCCCTCAACAGAAAAATGCTTAACAGCCAAATGTTCCTCCCAGTCATTAGTAAGGCTTTTGTAGAAAGCAGCATACTCCTCCTTAGTGATCTCTTCGGGTTTCCTCATCCAGATTGGCTTCTGCTTGTTGACCAAAGACCATTCATGAGAGACTTCCTTGATCTTCTTCTTTTTCTTCTCATCTTTCTCTTTCTCTTCATCGACTTCCTCAACCTTTCCTTCCTCATCTTTCTTGTCCTCCTCATCCTCATCATCAGAAATTTCCTTCTCAATGGTCTTCTCCACCCACAAAGAAATTGGGTAGCTGATGAACTCAGAGTGCTTCTTGATCAGATCCTTGAGTCGCCTCTCCTCAAGGTACTCAAGTTGGTCCTCCTTAAGGAAGAGGGTCATCTTGGTTCCCCTGCCAAGATTCTCACCAGATGCGTCTCTGGTAACAGTGAAAGAACCACCAGCCTGGGACTCCCACACGTACTGCTCATCATCATTGTGCTTGGTTGTCACGATAACCTTCTCAGCAACCAAGTAGGCTGAATAGAAACCAACACCAAACTGCCCAATCATACTGACATCAGCTCCAGCAGCAAGAGCTTCCATGAACTCTTTAGTCCCAGACCTTGCAATTGTACCAAGGTTGTTCACCAAATCTGCATTTGCATAATCAAGTGAAACTTTATCAATACAATCAAACTTCAAGAAAAGGCAACTACCCACAACAATTAATGGTCTATTTATACTAACCAGCCTTTGTCATGCCAATGCCACTGTCAACAATGGACAATGTGTTATTGGTCTTGTCTGGAATGATGTGGATAAAGAACTCCGGCTGAGCATCCAGCTTGCTCTTGTCAGTCAAGCTTTCAAAACGGATTTTATCCAAAGCCTACAATCAATGACAATAAACCAATCAGTATTAAAATTCCAATACAGGCCTCATTAGACTGGAAATAAAAAAAACATAAATGCAGTGTATTCTAATCAGAAATAGCTAAATCAATATTAATGTAACCAAACAATTACCCAAGTGTAGGAAAGAAGAACAAACTGACAAGCACAACATAGAATTTACATAATGTCCTCGCAACAGTACCAGTGATACACGTACGTAGCATAAAATTTTTGAAACTCACGTCAAAACTTACCTAAAACAAAATTCAGGGGAAAAAATGTACCCATAACATCTCCCACAAAACAAATAGAAGTTAAGTCTATACGCGAGTCCTAGGGGGTTCATATTCACAAGGTCCGTCAATTTAAACGAACATATTTTGATGTCCATTTTCCATCATCCACAAACTCAATATCTCGGAAAAATATAATCTCTTTTTTTTGGTAGGAGAAAAATATAATCTCTGACTTAACCTACGAATCACTTGCTGCTTGCGCCGTCCACACATCAAATTAACAGCAATACCATACTAGACATAGATCAGAAACAGAACACAAAAAAGGCATGAAGAACAGAGCATCATAGATTAATCCCTCCTAACCAAACCTGGTAATATCAAATTAACATAAATTAATAAAAAAAAACCATAATGTTGCTTAAAAAACCGCAAATCACAGAAGAATGCAGTATAAGAATTTAACAATTGAATCAGATCAGTCGCATCAAAACCAAAAAAAACGTACAAAACGAATCTAATTGAAAGCGCAAAGGAGAAAGTTCTTCAGAGAATAAGACCGAAGGCTTACATCAGAAGCGTTGCTAATAAGTTCACGGAGAAAGATCTCCTTGTTGCTGTAGAAAGTGTTGATAATAAGACTCAACAATTGGTTGATCTCAGCTTGGAAGGCAAACGTCTCCGTCTGCGCCATTGCCGATTATCTCTCTTTACTGCAACGATAATATATCACAGAAAGAAAAATCGCCAAGGCTTACCAGAAGAAGCTAGGGTTTATGAGTAAGGAGGAGCAAAGGAGGCAGAGACTGAAGGCCGCGAAGCAAAGGTATTTTATAGGTGGTTTCCTTTAGGGTTTCTAGATCCTTCTATTAGCGATATTTTCTCGTGTAGTTTTCCTTTTCTTTTGCTGCTTTTCATTAATCGGAGGAGTAGATAAAAGAACAGTGCAAAACTCGAATAGTGACACGCGTTGGATTACTGGGGCGGGTTTAGTTGGCCTGACCAATGAGAATTGAGCTTGAGATCCAATGGGTGCAATCCTGGCTCGTGAGCGAATCATAAAAGGCTTTGGATTAAACGGCACTTACTTAATCATGAATCAACTGGGTCAACTAAAGCGTTGCAAGACCTTCGCGATCCTTCTAAGCGGGGTGTTTGGTTAGAGGGTTTTGGTTTTCATTGCCAAATAATAATATTAATATGTCCAATTTTCCTTGCAGTTTTGACTTCCTAAAATTTCCATATCAATACCACCCCAAAAAATTAATCTTTTTTCACTTGTAGTACTGTTAAAGTTTATTTTCCCTTCAATTTACTTGCCTCTAGGAGCCATAAGATTGTTCTTTTATCAACTCACTGCACACACTAAAATGAGTGTTCAAACATCTTTTTGTTTTTATTTTTTTATATCAAATGAATGAAATTTATGAAGCAGTGAAGGAAAATGTAAATTTAAACACAAAATCTCTAAATTTTGAAATCTCAATAATCTTATGTGCTTCTTCCTCCATCCCAAAGCCAATAAACCCATAATCCCATAGCAAACAAGGAAATATGAAGGTTTGTAGTATGATACTACATTAACCATGTTTTAGTGTAATTGGGTAAGCATCAATATTTTTATGTTTTCATTTCCTTCAAAAATGATTTTATAATCATATTTTAATAATTTTTTTTTCATTTTGAGAATTACAGGTTCTCGAGCTTGAATATAAACTACTTTTCTGAAAAGCAAATGCTACATAAAGAATAATTGTTTAAATACCCTTCCAATTGTCAAAAAGAGCTAATAGTTTATTAGCAATTATATATCACTTGCGATTTTGCTTAAAAAGCTAAGAGTAAATTATTTAAAGAGTTCTTAAACTATTTTAATTTTAAAATGACCCTCAACTATTTGCAATATCAAATTTGTCCTTTAATAATAAAAAAAATTCAAATTTGATCCTTCAATTCATCTCCATCACTAAAATTGATGGATCCAAGGGGAAAATTGGACATATTTAATGGTAGAGATAGAATGAAGAATTAAAATTTGATAATTTTTATTATTCAAAGACCAATTTAAAACTTTAAAATAGATGAGGAGATAATTTGAGATAATTGATGTAGTTTAGTGTTTCGTAACTGGTTTACCCAAAAACTAAAAATTGACTACAGTCTCTATTTTGCTAGAAATTTGAATCCTAGATAGATATGGAGTGATATTTTTCTATTATTATATGATTTTTTTTATTATATCTCAATTTACATTATTATATGATTTTTTTCCTTGAGTATAAGAAAACAACTATCATGATTTTATTTGATGTAAAATTTTGGCCTACCACCAAATAAATAAATAAATAAAATGGAAGGACATACGACCAAGAATCAAAATAATTTTACTATTATAATATTTAAACAAAAAGGGGAAGTAGATATATGAAGGAAAAATGACCAATTTCGTCCTTAAACTCTTTTATTAGTGCCGATTTAGTCATTAATTTTTTTTTACCAATTTGATACTTGAACTTATTTTGTAGTTCCAATTAAAGACCTCCGCGGTAGCACCACTATCTAAAGTTAATCAGGCTCATAATTGACTAACCAAACAGAGATATTATGGGAATGTCACTCACGGACTATAATAAAATAAATAAACTATGTAAAAAAATCACCATATAAAACTTTTAAATTATGTAAAAAATCACAAAAAAAAACCTTTTTAAAATTTTAATCTTGTACTTTTTTGACACAATTTACTTGATGACATTCCAACAATAACCTTATTTAGTTGGTTAATTAGAAACCATATCGGTTTAAGGAGGTGGTACCATTACAAAAGGTTCTTAATTGGAACCGCAAATTAAGTGGACACATCAAATTAGATAGGAATAAAAATTAGGGATTAAATTAGCACTAGTAACAAAGTTTAGGGACGAAGTTGGCATTTTCCCCAACAATAAAACCAAAAGCCGTTTGAAGATCTTTCACGTATTGAGATTTCAGCTACATTCTTATCCTTCGACCAGCTCTCCTGGCTTCCGCAGCCCTACCACTGCACACCGCCAAGCTCTCTGGTCTCTGCGTCTCCCTTCACTTGGGCTCATTCTCTTTTGAGTCAAATTCAGAAATGGGAGGTCCAGCTTATCAAACCCGCATCCGTTTCCCAATTGCTTTGGCTTCTCCTAGGTAAATACTATTCCTTTCATTTCTGATAGCCTTATTATCTCCCAGTAAGCTTGCTTGTATCTTCATCATGGCTATTTAATGACCAATGGGATGCATGTTAACTACTGAATCCTTAAACCTCATAAGGAAATTAAGTTGTTCGCCCGAGAAGAAAGCATCCCGCGTTGAATCGATGAACGTTGGAGCAAATTTTTAACTAAAATTTGATTTTGGAATGGTTGATACTTAGCTGTTGTCTTACCGGGACACACTTGATCACTGATCTTGTGCAGGAGCTGCAATATAAGAGTACAACCATTTAGGATTTTCTTCTTATTTTTTTTTTTAAGCACTGCGAGCAACAGGATTCTTACCTGTAGGCTTGATATGAATTTTTGAAATAGGTGTTAAACTGTGTACGATAAAGTTTCATCATGAGTGTGATACTTGTTTGAGCAGTTGCCTGGTTTTCAAGCAGCCTAGAGTCGTGTTGTCGGAGAATTTGGGTGAGAAAGTTACTTCTATTGGATTTAAAAAGGTACCAAGGAGGTCAATATTGCAGCTCATGGTATTTGCTCCAATATTTGCAACTGCCAATACGATTTTAGCAGCACCAATGCAGGAGATGAATGAACCTGATGTGGTAAGGTAAATATTGCTCATGCTGTCATTAGTACTTACAGTTTGTTTGGAGTAAGGTGAAATTCTAGAGAGGTCCCTAGAATTAGTACTTGTTATTGTCAGTTGTTCTCAAACACAATCTCTGCTTGGCATTTGAAGCATCCAGGACATTGAAGCTTCCCAGTGGAGTGAGGATACAAGGTAAGATATCCATTGCTGCTGACATGCTTGTTGAAACGAATGACTTGATTCATTCTGTTTATTAAGGACATTAGAACTATGATACTCTTTTTTCTTTTTCATTCATTCCTTTATCTTTCTACATAAGCTATTGAGACGCATTTTGGCCTGTCATCTGTTACAAATCAAGTTACTTCCCAATTTTGATGGGAATGTGGGACAAATGTAGGATGGTATGCATCTCATTCCACACATACATGCCACCAGAAGTAGCTTTGAAGTAGAAGCACTCATGTATTACATGTACTTGGCTAAATTCGGTACTTAATATACACATTTGCATACAAAAATAATCTATGACTTCTGTCTGTACATGATTTTTGAACTTGAACTACGACTTAAAAAACTGTCAAAGGGGCAGACACCAGATACATTTCTCAATTTACACTATGGAGTGGGAATTTCAGCTATACTACGTTCATTTTTCCGTTTATTTCTTAAATGTCTGTTTGTCAAACCTCTCTGCAAGAAATTGTTGAAGGCAAAGGACGGGAAGCATCTGAGGGTGATCTTGTGGAAATAAACTATGTATGCCGGCGTTCAAATGGATATTTTGTCCACAGGTAAGCTTTCAAACTTCTATTTCTTTGATCAGATGGATTTCTAATGCCTTGAATTTTCTGGTTCTGCCTTCTGAGATTGTACAAGTAACTTCCATTATGCTTTATACATCATTTGAATACAGCACGGTCGATAAATTTAGTGGAGAAAGTGCTCCTGTTATACTCTCGCTGGATGACAAGCAGGTCAATTCTGTTTCTTCTATTACATGATGTGAGAATGATAAATTAAGTAGGAAGCATTTACTCAGAACCATTACTCACTCATAGCTTTTCGCCATTGGGTTAATGACTCCAGAATTTCCTTTCTGGGCTAGATTCTTGTTATGCATTGTCGTAACTAATAAATTGAGTTATGATTTTGTCTTGCAATGGAGATGCTGACTGGTCGTAACGTTTTCAGTCAAGTATCTGCTTTGTAACTAGCGCTTTCCCTGCATCCTGCCGTTTATATAACACCATTACCTGCTTGCGTCCTCTGGGATTCAGGATCTGCTACTTGAACCTACAAAAAGATCCTTGAGAATCACGTTTCAGAAGTATTTGCGAATTTCTTGTAAAGGTTGCTAATCAAGGTTTTTCTGGTTGTCTAGATTATTAAAGGTCTGAAGGAGGTTTTGATTGGAATGAAAGCTGGAGGTTTGTTTTACTTGTCGTAGTTTCTGAAGGGGTTTTGTATGCCAAAAGTCGCAATTGAAGCGTGTTCATATAGTTTGAAAATAGCCCTTCAAGTCAATAATACATGTTTGAGAAAAGCTTGATCATATTTCGCAGGAAAGAGAAGAGCACTGATACCTCCTTCTGTCGGTTACATCAGTGAAAACTTAGCACCTGTCCCGGAAGAGGTAATGACTTCCTCACTTCCTTCTCCAGAACCCATTGTTCTACAAGTTAGCTCTTGGCAGCTGGCACTGGTAAATGAAAGATGATCATGCCGCACTAACAAATAAACGACCGTGCATTCATTTTGCAGTTTGGGCCTAGGCGGAGTCTTTTGTCTCACGCGAAAGAGCCTTTAATATTTGAAGTGCAACTTTTGAAGGTTTTGTGACTTGTGGAGTTTGATCCTATCTTTACATATATTTCGCATATAATTGATGTGGAGCACTAGGCATACTCGAATACAACCATTGGTTATTTATGATGTTGATCCTGGAATTGTTAAGTGATAGTACGTGCTAACAGAAAGGAAACTAGGGGAGGGAGTTAACGGGTAGCATATGATTGAAGAAAAAAGCAAATGCGCCAGAGGGTTCACGAGCAAAGTCAAGCCGAGACGAGAAAGATTTAGTAGTAAACCACCCGCCTTTGGACTGGTGGCCACCGTCAATGCATTAAAGCTTGGTAGGGTGGGAAGCAAGGATTCAAACCTTGTCTTCCACCAACTTGTCACAATTAAATGTGGCTTTATTTAAAAAATTCAAGCGAATGCGTAGTGCATCTGTCTGCTATCGTATAGGAAACTATCGACAAAAAAAAAAAAAAGATTTAGTGGTAGCATATGATCCATCCATAAAAAATGCACACAATTGATTCTAAACGGGAAGGTGAAGTGCAGTATTTCAAATGCGATGATGATAGTTTTGACGAGATACAACGGTCAACTGATCATATGTAAATTTGCGTAAAATTTGTCAAACTTGTAGTATAACTGTTCTAAAACAGTTACATAAGCTAGAGTGAGCTGGACAGTTCAACTGGAGAGGCATTTATCGTTTCTGCGTGAATTTAGTTAACCATCGAGTGCATGTCTTGGGAAATTTAGAGCGCACCTTTGAGTCTTTGACAGAAGTCGGCATGTACCCCAGCCACAAAGGCGTAGTATAGATACGCATTCAGACTCCACGCCTTTGACAATCCCGCTGAAACGGGAAAATGTTTCAGCGCCTCCGCTCCGTCTTTGCTTAATTACCAAGACCGCAAATACGCACTAATAACAGCAGCTACAAAACACGTCAAATTTTGAAACTTTTAGACTAAGGAGTAAAGGCAAGATTGGTGAAATTGGGGTCCCCTGTCCACATCCTCTGCTCGTTGCCTGTCCAAATTCACCAAAAATTTCCTATTTTTTCTCCTCTCAAGAAGAGTTGGGTCGGGTACTGGATCGTGAGAAAACTCGCAAGATGCAGCAGTGGTTTTCAGCGGTTACCGTCGGCGCCAATGCCAATAATCAGCAAACGGCGTCGTCGTCGTCGTCTTCGCCGTCTTTATTGTCAGATTGGAACTCATATGCAGCTGCTAGAGCCTCCGAAGATAGCAGCTCCCTCCTTCCTGGTTTTGATCTCGAATCCGCCGTCAGGTCCGCCAACGACACCGTTTCCGGCACTTTTAACGTGTGAGATTCTGCTCCCCGCTCTACTCTCCTTTCTTTCCCCCAGTAATTTCGAGTGTTTAACTAGCTTCTATCTGTGTCCATGGTTTTTCTCCTAAGAGCGTCAATGTGGAAGAGAAATTCCGGTGTGAGAATGGTGAAATGAATTGTTAGTTTTTAGTAATTCTCCTTATTTTAATCACTAATTTCGTGAAGCTGACTTGTTATGCTCTGTCTATATCGTTAATATCTAACCAAATTCCTGAATCTTTCTCGGATTGATTTGTTTTTGACGTTCAATTCTGCACTAAGACCAAATTCTAAGTATGATAGGGTTTTCAGGGTTAATCTCCATTGTCTTCTTGCTGGACATGTACCCAGCCATACTTGAGTCCCTCAGAGCTTGTGCCTTCATAATCCTCTCCATGTTGGCTGTCCAGCCATACTCTCCAGTAACCAAACAGCAGGGTGAGTCCACAACACGGTCAGAAACAATTACCTTCTCAACCTTGTCACCAAGAACATCCTTGATCACCTTGCAAAGACCCTCAAACTTCTCCTTCAAAGTTTCCTTCTTCTTCTTCTCATCCTCACTCTCATCAAGCTTGAGGCCTTCCTTGGTGGCAGAAACCAGCTTCTTTCCCTCAAATTCCTTAAGTTGACCAACAGCATACTCATCAATAGCGTCAACCATGAACAGGACCTCATAACCCTTCTTCTTCAACTTCTCAAGGAAGGGAGAGTTCTCAACAGCCTTCTTGCTCTCACCAGTAATATAGTAAATATCATTCTGTCCCTCCTTCATCCTGGTAACATAGTCCTTCAAGCTAGTCAGCTCGTCACCACTCTTGGTGGAGTGATAACGCAGAAGTTCAGCAAGCTTAGTCTTGTTCTGAGAATCCTCATGGATGCCAAGCTTGAGGTTCTTTGAGAATGCCTCATAGAATTTGTTGTAGTCTTCCTTGTTCTCGGCAATCTCAAAGAAAAGCTCAATGCACTTCTTAACCAAGTTCTTGCGAATGACCTTCAAGATTTTGTTCTGCTGCAACATCTCACGAGAAATGTTGAGAGGAAGATCCTCAGAATCTACAATACCCTTCACAAAGCTCAAATATTCAGGAATCAACTCCTCACAGTTGTCCATAATGAACACACGGCGGACATAAAGCTTAATGTTGTTAGGTTTCTTCCTGGTATCAAACAGATCAAAAGGTGCCCTCTTAGGAACAAAGAGAATAGCCTTGAATTCAAGCTGGCCCTCAACAGAAAAATGCTTAACAGCCAAATGTTCCTCCCAGTCATTAGTAAGGCTTTTGTAGAAAGCAGCATACTCCTCCTTAGTGATCTCTTCGGGTTTCCTCATCCAGATTGGCTTCTGCTTGTTGACCAAAGACCATTCATGAGAGACTTCCTTGATCTTCTTCTTTTTCTTCTCATCTTTCTCTTTCTCTTCATCAACTTCCTCAACCTTTCCTTCCTCATCTTTCTTGTCTTCCTCATCCTCATCATCAGAAATTTCCTTCTCAATGGTCTTCTCCACCCACAAAGAAATTGGGTAGCTGATGAACTCAGAGTGCTTCTTGATCAGATCCTTGAGTCGCCTCTCCTCAAGGTACTCGAGTTGGTCCTCCTTAAGGAAGAGGGTCATCTTGGTTCCCCTGCCAAGATTCTCACCAGATGCGTCTCTGGTAACAGTGAAAGAACCACCAGCCTGGGACTCCCACACGTACTGCTCATCATCATTGTGCTTGGTTGTCACGATAACCTTCTCAGCAACCAAGTAGGCTGAATAGAAACCAACACCAAACTGCCCAATCATACTGACATCAGCTCCAGCAGCAAGAGCTTCCATGAACTCTTTCGTCCCAGACCTTGCAATTGTACCAAGGTTGTTCACCAAATCTGCATTTGCATAATCAAGTGAAACTTTATCAATACAATCAAACTTCAAGAAAAAGCAACTACCCACAACAATTAATGGTCTATTTATACTAACCAGCCTTTGTCATGCCAATGCCACTGTCAACAATGGACAATGTGTTATTGGTCTTGTCTGGAATGATGTGGATAAAGAACTCTGGCTGAGCATCCAGCTTGCTCTTGTCAGTCAAGCTTTCAAAACGGATTTTATCCAAAGCCTACAATCAATGACAATAACCCAATCAGTATTAAAATTCCAATACAGGACTCATTAGACTGGAAATAAAAAAAAAACATAAATGCAGTGTATTCTAATCAGAAATAGCTAAATCAATATTAATGTAACCAAACAATTACCCAAGTGTAGGAAGAAGAACAAACTGACAAGCACAACATAGAGTTTACATAATGTCCTCGCAACAGCACCAGTAATACACGTACGTAGCATAAAATTTTTGAACCTCCGTCAAAACTTACCTAAAACAAAATTCAGGGGAAAAAAATGTACCCATAACATCTCCCACAAAACAAATAGCAGTTAGGTCTATACGCCAGTCCTAGGAGGTTCATATTCACAAGGTCCGTCAATTTAAACGAACATATTTTGAGGTCCATTTTCCATCATCCACAAACTCAATATCTCGGAAAAATATAATCTCTTTTTTTTGGTAGGAGAAAAATATAATCTCTGACTTAACCTACGAATCACTTGCTGCTTGCGCCGTCCACACATCAAATTAACAGCAATACCATACTAGACATAGATCAGAAACAGAACACAAAAAAGGCATGAAGAACAGAGCATCATAGATTAATCCCTCCTAACCAAACATAATATCAAATTAACATAAATTAATTTTAAAAAAACCATAATGTTGCTTAAAAAACCGCAAATCACAGAAGAATGCAGTAAAAGAATTTAACAATTGAATCAGATCAGTCGCATCAACACCAAAAAAAAACGTACAAAACGAATCTAATTGAAAGCGCAAAGGAGAAAGTTCTTCGAAGAATAAGGCCGAAGGCTTACATCAGAAGCGTTGCTAATAAGTTCACGGAGAAAGATCTCCTTGTTGCTGTAGAAAGTGTTGATAATAAGACTCAACAATTGGTTGATCTCAGCTTGGAAGGCAAACGTCTCCGTCTCCGCCATTGCCGATTATCTCTCTTTACCGCAACGATAATATATCACAGAAAGAAAAATCGCCAAGGCTTACCAGAAGAAGCTAGGGTTTATGAGTAAGGAGGAGCAAAGGAGGCAGAGACTGAAGGCCGCGAAGCAAAGGTATTTTATAGGTGGTTTCCTTTAGGGTTTCTAGATCCTTCTATTAGCGATATTTTCTCGTGTAGTTTGCCTTTTCTTTTGCTGCTTTTCATTGCTGGAAATTTAATCGGAGGAGTTGATAAAAGAACAGTGCAAAACTCGAATAGTGACACGCGTTGGAATACTGGGGCGGGTTTAGTTGGCCTGACCAATGAGAATTGAGCTTGAGATCCAATCGGTGCAATCCTGGCTCGTGAGCGAATCATAAAAGGCTTTGGATTAAACGGCACTTGCTTAATCATGAATCAACTGGGTCAACTAAAGCGTTGCAAGACCTTCGCGATCCTTCTAAGCGGGGTTTTTGGTCAGAGGGTTTTGGTTTTCATTGCCAAACAATAATAATTAATGTGTCCAATTTTCCTTGCAGTTTTGACTTCCTAAAATTTCCATATCAATGCCACCCCAAAAAATTAATCTTTTTTCACTTGTAGTACTGTTAAAGTTTGTTTTCCCTTCAATTTACTTGCCTCTAGGAGCCATAAGATTGTTCTTTTATCAACTTACTGCACACACTAAAATGAGTGTTCAAACATCTTTTTGTTTTTTTTTTTTGTTTATATCAATATCAAATGAATGAAATTTATGAAGCAGTGAAGGAAAATGTAAATTTAAACACAAAATCTCTAAATCTTGAAATCTCAATAATCTTATGTGCTTCTTCCTCCATCCCAAAGCCAATAAACCCATAATCCCATAGCAAACAAGGAAATATGAAGGTTTGTAGTATGATATTACATTAACCATGTTTTAGTGTAATTGGGTAAGCACCAATATTTTTATGTTTTCATTTCCTTCAAAAAAATGATTTTATAATCATATTTTAATAAAATTTTTTTTCATTTTGAGAATTACAGGTTCTCGAGCTTGAATATAAACACTACTTTTCTGAAAAGCAAATGCTACATAAAGAATAATTGTTTAAATACCCTTCCCATTGTCAAAAAGAGCTAATAGTTTATTAGCAATTATATATCACTTGCGATTTTGCTTAAAAAGCTAAGAGTAGATTTTGCGATTTTGTTTAAAGAGTTCTTAAACTGTTTTAATTTTAAAATGACCCTCAACTATTTGCAATATCAAATTTGTCCTTTAATAATAAAAAAATTCAAATTTTGATCCTTCAATTCATCTCCATCACTAAATTTTGATGGATCCAAGGGGAAAATTGGACATATTTAATGGTGGAGATAGAATGAAGAATTAAAATTTGATAATTTTTATTATTCAAAGACCAATTTAAAAACTTTAAAATAGATGAGGAGATAATTTGAGATAATTGATGTTGTTTAGTGTTTCGTAACTGGTTTACCCAAAATCTAAAAATTGACTACAGCCTCTATTTTGCTAGAAATTTGAATCCTGGATAGATATGGAGTGATATTTTTCTATTATTATATGATTTTTTTATTATATCTCAGTTTACATTATTATATGATATTTTTCCCTTGAGTATAAGAAAACAACTGTCATGATTTTATTTGATGTAAAATTTTGGCCTACCACCAAATAAATAAATAAAATAGAAGGACATACAACCAAGAATCAAAATAATTTTACTATTATAATATTTAAACAAAAAGGGGAAGTAGATATATGAAGGAAAAATGACCAATTTCGTCCTTAAACTCTTTTATTAGTGCCGATTTAGTCATTAATTTTTTTGACTAATTTGGTACTTAAACTTATTTTGTAGTTCCAATTAAAGACCTCCGCAGTAGCACCACTATCTAAAGTTAATCAAGCTCATACTTGACTAACCAAACAGAGATATTATGGGAATGTCACTCACGGACTATAATAAAATAAATAAACTATGTAAAAAAATCACCATATAAAACTTTTAAATTATGTAAAAAATCACAAAAAAAACCTTTTTAAAATTTTAATCTTGTACTTTTTTGACACAATTTACTTGATTTATTACTGACGTTCCAACAGTAACCTTATTTAGTTGGTTAATTAGAAACCATATCGGTTTAAGGAGGTGGTACCATTACAAAAGGTTCTTAATTGGAACCGACATCAAATTAGATAGGAATAAAAATTAGGGATTAAATTAGCACTAGTAACAAAGTTTAGGGACGAAGTTGCCATTTTCCCCAACAGTAAAACCAAAAGCCGTTTGAAGATCTTTCACGTATTGAGATTTCAGCTACATTCTTATCCTTCGACCACCTCTCCTGGCTTCCGCAGCCCTACCACTGCACACCGCCAAGCTCTCTGGTCTCTGCGTCTCCCATCACTTGGGCTCATTCTCTTTTGAGTCAAATTCAGAAATGGGAAGTCCAGCTTATCAAACCCGCATCCGTTTCCCAATTGCTTTGGCTTCTCCTAGGTAAATACTATTCCTTTCATTTCTGATAGCCTTATTATCTCCCAGTAAGCTTGCTTGTATCTTCATCATGGCTATTTAATGACCAATGGGATGCATGTTAACTACTGAATCCTTAAACCTCATAAGGAAATTAAGTTGTTCGCCCTAGAAGAAAGCATCTCGCGTTGAATCGATGAACGCTGGAGCAAATTTTTAACTAAAATTTGATTTTGGAATGGTTGATACTTAGCTGTTGTCTTACCGGGACACACTTGATCACTGATCTTGTGCAGGAGCTGCAATATAAGAGTACAACCATTTAAGATTTTCTTCTTATTTTTTTTAAGCACTGCGAGCAACAGGATTTTTACCTGTAGAATTTTTGAAATAGGTGTTAAACTGTGTACGATAAAGTTTCATCATGAGTGTGATACTTGTTTGAGCAGTTGCCTGGTTTTCAAGCAGCCTAGAGTCGTGTTGTCCGAGAATTTGGGTGAGAAAGTTACTTCTATTGGATTTAAAAAGGTACCAAGGAGGTCAATATTGCAGCTCATGGTATTTGCTCCAATATTTGCAACTGCCAATACGATTTTAGCAGCACCGATGCAGGAGATGAATGAACCTGATGTGGTAAGGTAAATATTGCTCATGCTGTCATTAGTACTTACAGTTTGTTTGGAGTAAGGTGAAATTCTAGAGAGGTCCCTAGAATTAGTACTTGTTATTGTCAGTTGTTCTCAAACACAATCTCTGCTTGGCATTTGAAGCATCCAGGACATTGAAGCTTCCCAGTGGAGTGAGGATACAAGGTAAGATATCCATTGCTGCTGACATGCTTGTTGAAACGAATGACTTGATTCATTCTGTTTATTAAGGACATTAGAACTATGATACTCTTTTTTCTTTTTCATTCATTCCTTTATCTTTCTACATAAGCTATTGAGACGCATTTTGGCCTGTCATCTGTTACAAATCAAGCTACTTCCCAATTTTGATGGGAATGTGGGACAAATGTAGGATGGTATGCATCTCATTCCAAACATACATGCCACCAGAAGTAGCTTTGAAGTAGGAGCACTCATGTATTACATGTACTTGGCTAAATTCGGTACTTAATATACACATTTGCATACAAAAATAATCTATGACTTCTGTCTGTACATGATTTTTGAACTTGAACTACAACTTAAAAAACTGTCAAAGGGGCAGACACCAGATACATTTCTCAATTTACACTATGGAGTGGGAATTTCAGCTATACTACGTTCATTTTTCCGTTTATTTCTTAAATGTCTGTTTGTCAAACCTCTCTGCAAGAAATTGTTGAAGGCAAAGGACGGGAAGCATCTGAGGGTGATCTTGTGGAAATAAACTATGTATGCTGGCGTTCAAATGGATATTTTGTCCACAGGTAAGCTTTCAAACTTCTATTTCTTTGATCAGATGGATTTCTAATGCCTTGAATTTTCTGGTCCTGCCTTCTGAGATTGTACAAGTAACTTCCATTATGCTTTACACATCATTTGAATACAGCACGGTCGATCAATTTAGTGGAGAAAGTGCTCCTGTTATACTCTCGCTGGATGACAAGCAGGTCAATTCTGTTTCTTCTATTACATGATGTGAGAATGATAAATTAAGTAGGAAGCATTTACTCAGAACCATTACTCACTCGTAGCTTTTCTCCATTGGGTTAATGACTCCAGAATTTCCTTTCTAGGCTAGATTCTTGTTATGCATTGTCGTAACTAATAAATTGAGTTATGATTTTGTCTTGCAATGGAGATGCTGACTGGTCGTAACGTTTTCAGTCGAGTATCTGCTTTGTAACTAGCGCTTTCCCTGCATCCTGCCGCTTATATAACACCATTACCTGCTTGCGTCCTCTGGGGTTCAGGACCTGCTACTTGAACCTACAAAAAGATCCTTGAGAGTCACGTTTCAGAAGTATTTGCGAATTTCTTGTAAAGGTTGCTAATCAAGGTTTTTCTGGTTGTCTAGATTGTTAAAGGTCTGAAGGAGGTTTTGATTGGAATGAAAGCTGGAGGTTTGTTTTACTTGTCTTAGTTTCTGAGGGGGTTTTGTATGCCAAAAGTCGCAATTGAAGTGTGTTCATATAGTTTGAAAATAGCCCTTCAAGTCAATAATACATGTTTGAGAAAAGCTTGATCATATTTCGCAGGAAAGAGAAGAGCACTGATACCTCCTTCTGTCGGTTACATCAGTGAAAACCTAGCACCTGTCCCGGAAGAGGTAATGACTTCCTCACTTCCTTCTCCAGAACCCATTGTTCTACAAGTGAGCTCTTGGCAGCTGGCACTGGTAAATGAAAGATGATCATGCCGCACTAACAAATAAACGACCGTGCATTCATTTTGCAGTTTGGGCCTAGGCGGAGTCTTTTGTCTCACGCGAAAGAGCCTTTAATATTTGAAGTGCAACTTTTGAAGGTTTTGTGACTTGTGGAGTTGGATCCTATCTTTACATATATTTCGCATATAATTGATGTGGAGCACTAGGCATACTCGAATACAACCATTGGTTATCCGATACAACCATCATCGCTAGCTTGAATACCCAACCAGAATACAACCATTGGTTATTTATGATGTTGATCCTGGAATTGTTGAGTGATAGTACGTGCTAACAGAAAGGAAACCAGGGGAGGGAGTTAACAGGTAGCATATGACTGAAGAAAAAAAGCAAATGCGCCAGAGGGTTCACGAGCAAAGTCAAGCCGAGACGAGAAAAATTTAGTAGTAAACCACCGGCCTTTGAACCGGTGGCCACCATCAATGCATTAAGGCTTGATGGGGCGGGAAATAAAGATTCAAACCTTGTCTTCTATCAACTTGTCACAATTAAATGTGATCTTATTTAAAAAATTCAAATGAGTGCGTAGTGTATCTGTCTGCTATCTATCATATAGGAAACAATCGTGTCGACCAAAAAAAAAAATGGTTTAGTAGTAGCATATGATCCATCCATAAAAAATGCACACAATTGATTCAAAACGGGAAGGTGAAGTGCAGTATTTCAAATGCGATGATGATAGTTTTGACGAGATACAACGGTCAACTGATCATATGTAAATTTGCGTAAAATTTGTCAAACTCGTATAACTGTTCTGAAACAGTTACATCAACTAGAGTGAGCTGGACAATTCAACTGGAGAGGCATTTATCGTTTCTGCATGAATTTAGTTAACCATCGAGTGCATGTCTTGGGAAATTTAGAGCGCACCTTTGAGTCTTTGACAGAAGTCGGCATGTCCCCCAGCCACAAAGGCGTAGTATAGATACGCATTCAGACTCCACGCCTTTGACAATCCCGCTGAAACGGGAAAATGTTTCAGCGCCGTCTTTGCTTAATTACCAAGACCGCAAATACGCACTAATAACAGCAGCTACAAAACACGTCAAATTTTGAAACTTTTAGACTAAAGAGTAAAGGCAAGATTGGTGAAATTGGGGTCCCCTGTCCACTTCCTCTGCTCGTTGCCTGTCCAAATTCACCAAAAATTTCCTATTTTTTCTCCTCTCAAGAAGAGTTGGGTCGGGTACTGGATCGTGAGAAAACTCGCAAGATGCAGCAGTGGTTTTCAGCGGTTACCGTCGGCGCCAATGCCAATAATCAGCAAACGGCGTCGTCGTCGTCGTCTTCGCCGTCTTTATTGTCAGATTGGAACTCATATGCAGCTGCTAGAGCCTCCGAAGATAGCAGCTCCCTCCTTCCTGGTTTTGATCTCGAATCCGCCGTCAGGTCCGCCAACGACACCGTTTCCGGCACTTTTAACGTGTGAGATTCTGCTCCCCACTCTACTCTCCTTTCTTTACCCCAGTAATTTCGAGTGTTTAACTAGCTTCTATCTGTGTCCATGGTTTTTCTCCTAAGAGCGTCAATGTGGAAGAGAAATTCCGGTGTGAGAATGGTGAAATGAATTGTTAGTTTTTAGTAATTCTGCTTATTTTAATCACTAATTTCGTGAAGCTGACTTGTTATGCTCTGTCTATATCGTTAATATCTAGCAAAATTCCTGAATCTTTCTCGGATTGATTTGTTTTTGACGTTCAATTCTGCACTAAGACCAAATTCTAAGTCCTGCTGAAGGAAATTCATTGTAATCAAACTTCTAATTTGATTTAGCTAGCTCCTTGCTTAAATTGTCCGTATGAGCTGGTGATGCATTGCTCATTATGCCTATCGAAGGAAATTAATAGGAGTGTTTGGATAGAGTGCTATTCGAAATATATTTCAAATGATCACTGTAGCATTTTTTATGATAGAATGTATGTGAGATAAAAATGTGGTTGGGAATGTAATAAGTGTGACTGAAAAACGTATTTGTGATTCAACCACAATATAGTTTCAAATAATGACATATCCAATTATGTGTGTTGTATTCATCCTTGTTTGAATCTTGTATCAGTTTGTATGCTTATATTCGAGCTGATATTCGAATTGGACGAATGCAGAAAAGGAATTTTACGTCTGTGTTCGGTAATAGATGCATGTGTCATACAATTGGTATTAAACTGTTCTTTTTGTTTTTGGACACGTATCTTATTTTCCAGGCAAAGGTTGGGTCAGTTTCTTAAGAATAAAATGTGCATATGGAGAACTTTTTGACTTTTTGTGATTCTTAGTTTTGGTTCATCCGGTATAAGTATAAGCTTATGAAGCCCTACAAATTGGGTGGGTGGTAGAAATAAATTCACTGTAGAAACTATGAGATTTGGCTTACTCTTCATTACAGTCTAGAGGTGCCTTAAACAACAGGGCTTTTGCTGGCATTTAGTTGTGGTTGATTCATCTAAGAGACTTTGCATAACGGAGATGATAATAATGTCTTAGATCATCAAAATTTAAACCAAATTAGTAATCCACATGTGCACCTTATTCGTCAGGCTCTATCTACTCAGCTGTAAAAACAGTTAATGATGCGAATTTATTATTATGGAGAACAATTTGACTAGAAACAGCTAAGGCTTTGGCGTCTTCGTTACTTTTGAGTATTGACTAAAGAACTTGCGTAGATGATGATAATGTCTTTTGCATATGTTAGCTGACTCAGATATAAATCGTATTGGAGCTCATTGTTGGTGACATCTGCCTTTCTCAGAATAGCAAAATCAATTAATTTGGAAAGTTTTACGGGAATAATTTCTGCATGGAAAACACAATTTTTTAAGATTTTTGACTTCCCTTGTATGGTCACTTCATTTTTTGGATGTTGTTTCGTATCACGATATGGCTACCTTGAGCTAGCTACCAAGGATAACAAAGCTTCCCATAAATCATTCATGTCACAGCATCCCTCTGTCACTTTTACCTTAAACTGCCTAGGACCATTATTACCTATAATTTCTATTTACCACTGTCATGGTGTTACTTTTCACTGGTTGCCTTTGACAACCTATGCCAATATTAATTTGATAATCAATATGAATCATGTAGAAGACATTGGGGTTGAAATAGATCATTGATTTTTTAAGGAGATGAAAAGTCTTTGGAAGTGATGCATACATGTAGCAGAGATAGATCTCCTTCTTTAAAGCTTAAAAGTTTACCAATTACAAGAACGCACAAGGGGATATCACTGATGTGTCGAAAGAGTTCCATCTCTCACTTGTAAGAGGATGTTGTAGAAATCTTTGTTGGAGGAATGTAATTGAAGATTGTTGCTAATCTCAAGGGTCTGTTTTACAAGGGGCAAATTGCCCAGTTTGAATTTCCCCACTCCCTGAGAACTCTATCATGATTATATATTGTTGAGTTTTAGAAGAAAGTATCGTGTCTAATTGGAGAACATGATATGTAATATTCTACAGTTTCTGGTTCATGTCATAGCTGGATGCTGTGACAAGTGGTTGCAAAATTCAGCAACATGTTTTTGCTTTTGCTAGCATTGATTGGTAGAGTTTTGATTATGGCTTGTTAGTTTTATACCTTTAGGATGAATAATTTCTGAAGTATTTTTGATTAGTTTATCCTAAAGTTTCTTATATTTGAAAAGTCTATACTGCATAAACTCTGTCCTGAGAATTTGAACCCTTTCTGTATCCAAGTGTGGTGATATTTCCTTTTTCTGATGTGTAAAGATGTTCATGTTGTCATTCTTCAGGGTTTCAAAGGGAGTTAGAGAACTGCCTGGAAATTTTCAAACGGCAACTAGCAATATCCCATCTGGAAAATCTCTGTTGTATTTCAGTTTACTGCTGGCAACTGGAGTGTTCTTTGTTTTCATGTCATTTACGCTATTCCTTCCAGTCATTGTATTGGTACCCCAGAAATTTGCTATCTGCTTTACTCTCGGATGTGGTCTTATAATTGGATCCTTCTTCGCCCTTAGAGGCCCAAAGAATCAGTTTTCTCACATGTCATCAAAAGAGGTAGTTTTCTCATGAATTTTTTATTTTTTATTTTTAAATCTTTAATTCTAAGTTATCTGATATTTCTCGCCTCTCATCTGTATTTCACATTATGTTCACCAGAGACTTCCTTTCACATTGGGGTTCATAGGCAGCATGATGGGTACCATATATGTTTCCATGGTGCTTCACAGCTATATCCTCTCTGTTGTCTTTTCTGTGCTACAAGTATGAATCCTTGCTCTTTTATTCTTGCTACTCTTTCCCTCCTCCCCACCAAGTTTTTGGGTGCTAAAAATGAGTTTTGTTGAGTCCTTTTTTTAGTTGATGTTGATATGAATTTTTGGTTTGGATCCTTGCAGGTTTTAGCGTTATCATATTATGCTATTTCCTACTTTCCTGGTGGATCTACTGGACTAAAGTTCATCTCATCATCCCTGACCTCTTCACTATTAAAATGCTTCGGCAGATAATAGGAGTTAATGACAACAAAATGCAGGTATTCTCAGTCGTTATACACTTTCCAAGTCAAAGATGGTAACCGAATGCAGCATATGTACTATACTTTGGCATGGAAACTCGGCTGGTTGAGAGAGAGAGCGAAAGGATGTGATTTCGTTTTGGAGCCATTATTAATCTGATACTTGGCTTAAACTATGTACGTTTATCAAATGATTACTTTTCCTTCCAAGTGAACAGTATCATCTTGGGTTGGGAGGGAAGGGGGAGGGTGTATAAGGAGGAGGTCCTGGATTTAAGATCTCCCACTTTAAAAAAAAAAAAAAGAAAGTATCATCAATATTGGAGCGTCAGTAACATAGTTAAGCTGTGGTCATGAGGCTTTTGGTGTGGCATTCAGTGTTCTTGTTTTGGGGTGAACCTATTTTGTTTCTTTAGTATATCAAACATCACAAAAGGATTTGGTTTGCGGAGTTGTTTTGCAACAATTAGAGAAGTAAACAAGGGCGGATATTACGTACATTTGCATTTCTTTCTTTCTTCTTTTTGTAACCATTGATGCATTTACCATGCCAAAAGGATGCTCATGAAGTAGTAGGTAGTGGCAGGACATGAGGCAGCAGGCAAAGTCAGTTGGAGCATGTCCTAGTTCAATACAACAGTACAAGTGCTCATATTGTGGGTTTGGAAACTTTGTACAAATTGCCTGAGAGAGTTTAGCTTTAAATTCTGCTATTTTTCAGTGATAAGTAATCTGTTAAGCGTTTAATAGAGTCGGTGAAATGCTCTGGTTTTGAAATCAATTTACCTTACCTTCTTCCTGTAGTTTACTAAAAAATTATGTGCTTTATTGAATTGCTCTTTTGAGGGGGGGAAAAAAAGGAAGAAATAAAATCAGCAAAATACCCTTTGGCCAAGTATTGATGGGAAGTGATTGCGAGATATGTTACCTTTTGGGGAAATCAATTTTCTGTTAGACATGAGTTATTATGCTCGTCTTCATTACCAAAAAACACAAAGAATTGTGCGTACATTTTTTACCTCCTTTCATACGAGGACTTCGATCGTCTTCTTCTGTGTCTTTCTCGTTAAGCCAGGTTAAAATCATTTTATTGTGCCACCTCCCAAAGGGCCCAACAAGTATGTGGTGCGAGAGCACTAATGGATCCTGGCTTTGCACTGAAACCTTTGTTCTGTTCAGTCTAATTATTCAATTCTTATAACATTTGGTGTAAAATGGTACAATCTTATTACTTAGTTAGAGCTTAGTTAAGTAGTATTTACAACCTTTTCATTCTTCCCATGATGCGTTTTTTTTTTTTTTTTTTTTTTTTAATTTAAGCAGTGGTAAAAGACAGAGCCGTGTAGCACACAGATTTGATCAAAAAAAGACCTTTTCGGTTTTAAACGATGAAAAAAAAAAAAAAAGAACCAAGGCAAAGAGTAAGAGCTTCCTCTCTGCTTTTCCACCCATTACCTTTTATTTGATTCTCTTAGGAAGTCAAAATCCCGAAATTAAGGAAAGCAACATAGAGATTAGGGGACAATAATTTCTACCACAAATATATAAACGGCCAAAAAAAAAAAGTATAAGAGACAATGATTTGACCAGTAATATAGACATTTGGCCAGATTACCCACTATACCTTTGTTTTTATAAGGAAAAATTTGCGGAAAGCAAAAAGGATGAATGCCTCTGGTGATAAAGACGAGAACAAAGAGCAGAAACTGAAATTTGTGAGGCTGATGCAAAGCCTGATCAAATCAATCACCGAGTAAAACGAAAGCCAAGTGAAAACAACCTTTTTATTTATTATTATTTTGATTACATAAAAAAAGGGAAAAAAATTTCATTACGGTTTTATCTAGTGGTATTATTATCTTCCACTAGTTTGCTTTTCCTTTCAAGTCTGATCGTATAGTCTTGAATCTTGATGCATGTGTATTATTATCCTCCGATTAGAATGGACTCCAAAGAATGAGCGAGTAGGATTAGCAAAAGCCAAAAGGAGGGGTGGGAGGCAGGAAAATACATGCAACAAGAAATTGTGAGTTGCATCGATCACACAGCTCTTTGTAGCCCATATCATATCAGATGAAGTGGTAGGCCATCATCATCATCAACAAAGCCCAATTCCAATGTCTAATTATCGTTAATCAACACACACCCTCTTGCACGAGCGGGAGAGACTTTGACAATTGAGAAGAATTCTTGAAAGCCGTAATAAGATGAATAACATCATGCAAAGGCGTAGTCAACTTTTGGACCGGCATTTCAGGATTCTTTTTTAGTTTCTGCATATTTATTGTTGGAGACAAAGAAGAAGAAGAAGACAATAAATAACATGTATCCCTTCGGTGTTGAAAAGTACATTTATCTTCATCTTATAAGAGGCAGCTCCTAGTGCACGGTACATACACTCGCGTCACCATTCACCAACCCCAATAATAATCCATACACCTTTATACGTAAAACGAGAGAAAGTCTTCCATTTTCTTCCACTTGTACGAGCCTGGAGGATTCTCTCATGGCATTCATTCCACTCCACGACTAATCCAATAAACATCTTTCACCAGAATGGAGGGCTCTAATCTATCATAGCACGTTCATGCAAAAAGGTGGCACTACTGTAAACATTAATTAATTCCTGATGATCCCATCTACACAATTTTAGGGGCTAGCTTTTTCTTTGCCTCATTCTGCAGTATTATACAACGCATGCCCCTGAACAATTTCTTCTTCTGCTTCTATTTTGGAGTAACACAAGTACTCAAAGACCTGATGGGAAAAAGTCACTGCTATGTTAGAACCATAGGGAACTGGTAAATAATCAACCCTTATTACAGCTATATAATATACATGTACCAGCTAGGATATACTATGTACTCCTTCCGTCCCACTTTAATAGTGCTGTTTTTTTTTTTTTTTTTTTTGTCTGTTCCAAATTGTAGTTCACTTTCTTCCAATTGAAGAATGTAGTTATCTTTTAATTTCTCTAAAATACCCGTATTCAATATAGGTTGTTATTATTAGTATAAACTACCTTATTTAATATAACTTGTTAACCTACTCCATTTAATACATTTAAATTTAATGTGAAATAATGTGAAATGAGGATTTATTCTTTCTTGACCATCAATTCAAGTTTTCATGAATAATTAATATAAAGTTGTACTCTACTATTTAATGTAAGGGTATTTTAAAAAAATAGTAACCTAATTTTGTTTTTCCAATAAAATTTATTTATTTTTCTTAAACTGTGTGAAAGAAAAACTAGAACTATCAAAATGGGACGGAGGGAGTATATAATATATACATATACCAAAAGCTAGGATATGTGCATATTGTATTCTGTAATGTAACATCAAGGAGGCAGCTGTAATTTGCCGCAACTCCGAACTGTTACATATGCAAAGGGAGGTATGGAAAGGCAGCAATACCATGTTATCACGTGCCATTTATCTAATTTATTAGCTTTCAAATCCAATTGAGGGAGTCTCACGATCATGTGGCTAGCAAATTAGCAATCACTGCTGACTTATTCGATGGCCACGCATGTGACCACCAGAGCTTCATTCTATCTTAGTATTATTGGAAATGTACGTGCCTTGCATTTAGATTAGATCCCATCATCAGGCTAGGAAGAAGAGAAATCCGAAAAAGTGGACAACTGAAAATTTGTTGATTTCTAAAGATGCATTAGAAAGAAAAGGGCAGCTTCATTTTTCTCCTGTCATGAAGAGTATCTCCATGGAAAATTATGGTCAGAATTAGGATTCAGAATTGGAATGGGAGACAATGCTTATCATTGTGAGTTTCATCCTCAATATTGATTTGGTGGGCGTCTTTTCTTTTAAAGTTTTTCTTGTCTTTTTGTGTTTTGGATTTTATTTTCTGAGGTCAAGAAAGAAACCTTGCATCAATTGGGTTCACCTCCTCTTTACATGCATTGCGGATTTTTGGCCGCTAGGTACTTGTTGTTGTGCCGAGTATCCATCAACCGTATCAGGCCAAAATGTACAAGGAAGGTTATGCCGACCCCCTTTTTCGTTTTTTTTTTCTTTTCTTTTTTCTGTATGGGTCCAGCAATTCCTCTTATCTTAATCGTACAACACCTCAAATAGCTTAAAACAAATGGATGAAAAATTTTGGTTTAATAATGATAATAATAATAATAATGCGCATGATACTTAGCTATTCATCAAATCAAGGCCCCATCTTATTGCTCCCAGAGCCAAAACTAATCATACCCTCCTACTTTGTTAGACTTAATTAAGTCTAATCTTTTTCTTCAAGTACATCTTGACACCAACTTGCAAGGAAAAGTGTTAAGATCTTGCTTTTGGTAGCAATAAGATCAGTCTAATCCATACACTATTATAGTAATGTCCAATTGATGATGCACGTATCATGTATTAAGTTTTACTGGGCTTTATGTTACCTGATCGCTCTATGGTCCCAAATCTGTGCATGAAGGACAAAAGAAACATTACAAGCTTTTTACTTTTTTACCGCTAATGACCTTTTCGCATTCGAACCAAACCAATGGGATCACGTATACATACAAACGGCCAAACATCTCTCGAGTAGACTATATAAATCTCTTGGAAGAACGGCAGAAATAAAACAAAGGATAATTGCGTTGGCATGTTTCTTGGAAAGAGCAAATGATGCATCATGGCATACGAATTCTAACGCCTCACGTTCTGGAATGAGCCCGTGATTTCCCTCAGCATATGTTAAAGTGGGGAGGCACGAGACCCGATCTGTCCTGTAGTACTAGTAATATTTTTATAGCAGTGTTGTCAGGTTTTGTGTTGTTGATTTGGTGGATTTGTGACCAAATATAGGATTAACAAGTGTTGAGTTGCTCTGATGTTGTCCCTTCAGCCCTCCACTTCAGGCCAATGACTCCATTTTTTTTCTTCTTGTTTTGAAAACTGACTTTACAGAAGGGCCGCCCGACAGCATGTTCTGATTTGCAGGTTTGATAAGCTAATTTAGTTGCCAATTAGTGATAGTTGATTTTCACTTCCATTCCATGTGCACTTCACCGGTCACTACTTACCACTCACTACTACTCCCATCAGATTCCGTTTCCCACTAATCAACACTGAATTAGATATTTAGATATGGTCAGCTTCATTATCTCAGCTTTCAAGAAAACAAAACAAGTCCCTTTTTTTAATTTATCTTGCGCCTGATTGAAATGAGTGCAAATTAGTTGGAATGAGGAGGGGTCATTTGAAAACTAAAAATGTCAGATGGCATTTTCCATCTTTTATTAGCCATCTAAATTTCTAAGCTCCTTTTCGCTCGGAGCCCTTTGTTTTTACCATTGGTGAATTCCATTTGCGACCTGCAAATGTTTGCTTCATGAAACATGTTTGGTGAAAAATGCCGATACAGTTAAAAACTCTCTTGGAAAGTGTCTTGAGAGGCTTCCACAACCAACATGTGGCTGACTCACCCCTTCATGCCACTTAATAGGGGCTGGACCGTGCCTATAGCCTAATGCAGCAGTTTGCAACTGTGAGACCAATCAAAATGGTGGTGAAATTTATTAAGTTAATAATTCTCTAACCGCCTCTTGGGTTGGCTCGGATGATCTCGTGATAGCCTAGTTAGATCCTGAAGTCGTGTGTTCGAACTATCTCTTTATCACTTGTGTATTCTTGAGGGATGAAGTGCACTAACGCAGAGAGATTAGTCCAATAAAGTTGGGAGACTCTCTGTATTGAAAAAAGAAATAATAATAACTCTCAAACCAGATACCATGCAGAAGGAAGGTGATTATCGAGGGTCCATTCTGATTAATTCCAAGAACAAACTCTTTGAGATTGAGCAGATTAACTGATTGTCAATTTATCAGGAATCAGCGGAAATTAGGAAAATAGTTACAGCAATCGTTCTCTCTCCACTGGATGGAGTATATTACATTTGCATGAAAAATTTAAATGCGGATGTAGACAACTGACCAGAAATGCAGAAACAAGACAGAGTTTTTTTAACGCCAGAATAAGAGTAAGAGAGGAGATTGAGAATGCAGTATCTGCATCGCATACTCGAAGCCACCAATTTTATCTCCCACAGTAACTTCTGATTAGAAAGAAATCACAGATGGACGCTACTTCCCTCTAAGAAAGGAAAAATCCAAGAACTACTTATACAGCAGTAGCAAATTGCCATAAGAAAAACACCCGCGTCGTACTAATAAAACCAAACGAGCCCATCTGCATCACCACCCCTTAGCTAACAGCAACTCCTCCGAATACAATAATAATAATTAATGAAAGTTCTCTTGGATCCAGATCTTCTGCTTTTTCTCTATAAACAAAACATGGGGTTCCCCCCTCTACAATCCCAAAGAACTGATCATCCTCTGCTCTTTGCTCCCAGCAGCAAAGCAGTCAGCAATGCCTGCACCCTTAAGAAATCCTTTACTTTCTCCTCCCCTCAATTACTTCTTCTTCACCTCACTTCTCTCAATAAACTATCTATTCTTTTCTCCTTGCTACTCCATTGATGTGCAGGGCCAAGCTCTTCTGACATGGAAGAACAGTTTAAACAACTCAAGATACGCACTGAAATCTTGGAACCCTTCAGACCAAAGTCCCTGCAATTGGTTTGGGATACAATGCAACTCAAATGGCCAAGTTGTCAAGATAAGCCTGAAATCAGTTGACTTGCAGGGCCCATTGCCTTCAAACTTACAACCTCTCAAGTTCTTAAACACTCTCATCCTTACATCAGCCAATCTAACAGGCGCAATTCCAAAAGAGTTTGGAGATTACCAGGACCTGACTTTCGTCGATGTCAGTGACAATTCAATCTCAGGAGAAATCCCACTGGAAATCTGCAAACTGAGCCAGCTTCAAACTTTGTATCTTAATACAAATTTTCTCGAGGGTAGCATACCTTCAGAAATAGGAAATTTGTCGAGTCTCAAGGTTCTTACCCTCTTTGACAATCAGCTTAGTGGTGAAATCCCAACAAGCATAGGACAGCTGCGGAATCTTGAGGTGTTCAGAGGTGGTGGGAATCAAAATCTTAAAGGCCAGCTGCCTTCAGAGATTGGAAACTGCTACAACTTGAGAGTGTTAGGCGTTGCTGAAACAAGTATTTCAGGAACGCTGCCATCCTCGATAGGGATGCTGAAAAGAATTCAAACAATCGCCATTTATACATCCCAGTTGTCTGGCCCCATACCAGAAGAGATCGGAAATTGCACTGAGCTGCAGAACCTCTATCTATACCAGAATTCCTTATCTGGTTCGATACCATGGCAAATAGGAAACCTCAGAAAGCTTCAAAGTCTGTTACTCTGGCAGAATAGCATCGTCGGTTTGATTCCTTACGAGCTTGGAAACTGTAAGGATCTCAAAGTTGTCGATTTTTCTGAAAATCTCCTAACAGGAAGCATGCCTACAAGTCTGGGAGGGCTTTCTATGCTTGAAGAGCTCCAGTTGAGTGTTAATCAATTAACAGGTACTATACCTTCTGAAATCTCAAACTGTACAGCTCTGACTCATTTCGAAATCGACAACAATGGTATTTCAGGAGAGATTCCAACTCAAATTGGCCAATTAAAGAGCTTGACTCTGTTCTTTGCCTGGCAGAATAAGTTAACAGGCAACATTCCAGATTCTTTATCAGAATGTGAGAACCTTCAGGCTCTTGATCTTTCTTACAACCTCCTCTTTGGTTCAATTCCAAAACAGATCTTTGCATTACAAAATCTATCTAAAGTGCTACTTCTTTCCAATGAATTATCAGGTTTCTTACCACCTGATATTGGAAACTGTACAAACTTGTATAGATTTAGGGTGAATAGCAACAGGCTGGGGGGTACTATTCCATCAGAAATTGGAAATTTAAAAAGTTCGAATTTTTTTGATATGAGTAAGAACCATTTTGTCGGAGGAATCCCGCCCTCAATATCTGGAAGTGAAAACCTTGAGTTTCTTGATCTCCATTCAAATGCACTCTCTGGTTCTTTGCCTGATACTCTGCCCAAAAGCCTACAGTTCCTGGATATCTCAGACAATGGGTTTACTGGTCCTTTGAGCCCTTCAGTTGGGACGCTAACTGAATTAACCAAACTTAATCTAGCAAAAAATCAATTTTCTGGCAGAATTCCGGCAGAAATCCTCTCTTGCAGTAAGCTACAGTTGATTGATCTGGGAAACAACGCATTCTCTGGTAATATACCAAAAGAACTGGGTCAAATTTCATCACTTGAAATCTCTCTAAACCTCAGCTGTAACCAATTTACTGGTGAGATCCCAACTGAATTTTCAGGCCTTAGCAAATTGGCCATCCTTGATATCTCCCACAACCAGCTCGCTGGGAAATTAGATGTCCTCACTGACCTTCAGAACCTTGTTTCCCTTAACATCTCATTCAATGACTTCTCCGGTCAATTGCCTGACACCCCTTTCTTTCGTAAACTTCCCCTCAACGACCTTGCTGGAAACCAAGATTTGTACATATCTGGTGCAGTTGTAACTCCAGCTGATGCCATGGGGTCAGGTGGACATGCAAAATCGGCTATGAAACTGGCGATGCCAATTCTCATCAGTGCGAGTGCGGTGCTAGTACTTCTTGCAGCGTACATGTTAGTGAGAACCCGTATCGCCGACGGCAGGCAGATGGAAGTTGACACTTGGGAAATGACATTATATCAGAAGATGGAATTTTCAGTGGATGACATAGTACGCAGTTTAACATCTGCCAATGTCATTGGCACTGGGAGCTCCGGAGTTGTGTATAGGGTCACAATCCCAAGTGGGGAAACTTTAGCAGTCAAGAAAATGTGGTCATCAGATGAATCAAGAGCATTCACATCCGAAATTCAGACACTGGGTTCGATCCGGCATAAGAACATCGTCCGCCTCCTGGGATGGGGTTCAAATCAGACCTTAAAACTGCTTTTCTATGATTATCTTCCTAATGGCAGCTTGAGCTCACTCCTTCATGGTGCTGGGAAAGGAGCAGCCGAATGGGAGACCAGATATGAAGTCATCCTTGGAGTTGCCCACGCACTTGCGTATTTGCACCATGATTGTGTGCCTCCCATTATGCATGGGGATGTCAAAGCCATGAACGTGTTGTTAGGTCCTCGAATGGAGCCCTATCTTGCTGACTTTGGGTTGGCTAGACTAGTCAATGGCCAGAGTGATTCTGACATGTTAAGGCAGCAGAGCCAGAGGCCGCAACTTGCTGGTTCTTATGGATATATGGCCCCAGGTAATTAATCAAGATGGAAAATGTTAACTAATTAGCAATATTTCCCTCTTAGATTTGAATTGTTTCAGTAATAGTTAGCTGAACAGATTTGTTTTGATGTGTTAATCAGAACATGCTTCGATGCAACGTATCACTGAAAAGAGTGATGTATACAGCTTTGGGGTGGTCCTGTTAGAGGTTTTGACAGGGAGGCATCCATTAGATCCAACACTGCCAGGGGGTGCTCATTTAGTACAGTGGGTTCGCGACCACTTACACAACAAGAAGGAATCTGCTGAAATTCTTGATCCGAAGCTCAGAGGCAGAGCCGACCCTCAGATGCATGAAATGCTACAGACGCTAGCTGTTTCATTTCTCTGCGTGAGCTCACGCGCCGATGATCGTCCAATTATGAAAGATGTTGTGGCCATGCTCAAAGAAATTCGACATGTAGATCCAACAAGATCAGAGCCTGATTTGCTCAAGGGAGGTTTAATGGCTTCTCCTAAATCGCCTCCCACTCGGAAGGTGATTTCACAAGGGTCTTCTAATTGCTCTTTCACATTCTCTGATGATTCAATCTAAGCAAGCTTTGAAAGATATGATGCTGTGTATATTATTGCATAGGAAAATCCATCGAAAGCTTGGCAGAGATACTGTAGAGTGGATTGTATTTTTCCTGCCACATATTTTTGTTACTGTAGTGTGTATTTTCCTAGGTATAGTAATTGCTGTAAGAGTGGAATGATTATTTTTATCAGCGTAAAGTTTCAAACAAGAAGCAAGTATATCTCAAATGGTACCGTGTAAAATCACGATTGCAAGCTTGTGGCTGTTTTCCTTTACTCTTCCGTTTAGCATTTTCAACTCTTTTAAAGATTTGGCGTGGAGAGGAAGGGGTTTCAGGTTTGGTTATGAAAGAAAATGGTGGAGACTCTGTAGTTTCTTCCATTTCCTGCTAAATTTAAGGGAAAGGTGTAGAAATGGTCAAGTTTCTCTTCCAGTTTTTTTTTTTTTTTGGTCAATTGTCACTTTTTATTTATATAATCCCACTTACCCTAATAAGTGGAAGGTCCAAGTAGACTTACCAAACCGATGGAGACTACACTATATATTCATCTGAATTTTTTAGAGAATTCACGTATTTTAGCAATTGATAGCCCTTAAAGAAGCGGCAATTTGGATTGAAATCCATTTATCCATCCATATAATCCATAATTAAATGGATAATGGATTATCCATTTATAGTATTGGTTTTAAATGGTTGATCAAAGTAAAACCATTAAATTAAATGGATTTATATGGATTATCCACTAAAATATATATCCATTTACTTAAAAACCAAATAAAAGAGAGGGAAAGGAAATGACTAAAAAAGGAGCCATCCTAAAATTGCAATTGGGGTGTGAAAATTTTGCTTACATGAACTAGTAACTAGAACAAGAAAAATATAGTTATTCATTTAAATGCATTTTTGAATAAGGTGAGTTACTAGTTTATTTTAATTCTTCACTTAGTGAAATCTAATTCATTTGCTAAGAAAGTGGGTCAACATCAGACCATGAGAGGATTTTGAATTAGGAGGGGTAAATTTGATCATTTTCTTTTTGGTAACAAACACATTAATAAGTTTACAAATCGGTTAATTAATCCACTTGAATCATATATCTATGAACTTTTACTTGTTCTAAGATCTCTCTTATTTTTTAAAGTACAACAGAAAACTGGTATCTGTTCTTGGACTTAATTAATTGAGAGGGAAATGCCGAATTTGAGATAAATTTAAATGCAGTCAAGGCTAAAAGTAGAAGATAATATGGGCCATAATTAAATTCCATGGATGCCGAATTTGTAGATACCCTACGTACGGTCTATGCAGGGCTTCTATTGTTTGGGCTAGTTTGCAATATATGGCTACTATGTAATATGTAATATATATATACATATATAATAATAAAAATAAAAAATAATAATAATAATAATATTTTCAGATAGTTTTTTAGTGAAATGAAGGTTCATTTTGCTTGAATTTACATCCGTGGTATTTTGTGGCTTGAATTTACAAGAAATGGTAATACAAAAAAAAAGTAACAAAAATATTTAAATGGATTATAAATGGATAATTGGTTTTTATTTAATCCATTTAGATCCATCCATTTAGATCCATTTATTAAATGGATCTAAATGGATTGGATAAATTTAATCCACCATCCATTAAATCAAAACCAATTATGAACAATTTATCCATATTGCCACCTCTACCCTTAACCTCCCATTCCACCAAGCCTCAAGAACTTGCTGGTGGCCACCAGTATTTGAGCTGAGGCTGGTGGTTTTCTCTTCCAGTGTTTTGGGGATTCAAAAGTAGTCGTAGTACGCTTGCAGGTGCAATGATTGGGTCTCCTGGATTTATGCAACCAAAATTTACTCCGGCCGAGATTCTTCTATGTGCGGGTTTGTGCCCAAAGTCCAAACAGGTCTAGTCTTTCCAGCGGTGTTCACATGCTCCAGCTCGCCAACATCCCACATCACATGCTCATGTGATGTCAGAGAGAAACTTCAAGAAAAATACTTCTAAAACCGTTTTAGCAGAGACTTTCAAGAAACATACCCTCCCAAAGCAAACTAAGGAAACTTTGTCCAAAAGTCACCTATAATTCTTTTCATCCAAAGATAAAAAAAAAAGTGCATGGTCCGCTAGATATTATACAAGGAGATGGTCTTTACATGAAATCTTACTGTCAAAGGACAACACTTCAGTGGATGATAACAGGTAAAGCTGTTACGCATTTACGCAGACAAGATGATGTAATCAACCAGTAGGGGTCCTATCTTGCCATCATGAGATGAATATGTGCTTCATATCAAAATCATCAAACACAAAAGTCTTGTGTGGTCGGCATTGCAAACTAGTTACTAGCAATCAAGATATGGACACAAGCAATAAGAAATCTTTGCTTGGGATGCTTTCATTTGCATTATACAAGATACAATCAGTTTTCACAATATATTCCTGACAATCCCATTCGGTCATTTAGTTAAAAGGTAAATATCTTATATGGTCTACTTAGCACAGACTTTAGGTCTACCTGATGCAAAATGTACTGTGACGCCAGAGACTTGATAAAATCATAACAAGCTGTATGGAATCCATGGCAGATACTAATCGACATATCTTAAATGATTGTGAAGAACCATAACCTGAAATACAAATGCCCAATTCTACCTATTCCAAGGCAGCAAAGTAAAGGACTTTAGGAAGGATAGTGTGACTCTAACTTCTTTAGCACAGAATTGATAATGCTCCAATTGAAGCCACGGTATTGGAGCCAGCGAACAATCCTGGATTTTCTTGTCTCTGTAGACGCACCACAACTTCGCAACCACTGCTTTGAAGCCTGAGAAAATAAATGATCCATTGAACGCTTTGATATACCAAGACCTGATTCTTCATCTTCACAAGCTGAAGCATCATTGAAAACTAACTTTATCGCCTTCTCTGTGTCCATGATGCTGACTCCCTTGCTGTAGAGGGCCTGATATTGGGAAGAAGAAAAAGAGAGCAAGCCAAAGCAATTATTTTCCTTCCACATCAAGAAAACTAATGACTTGGTCCTTTCCTAAATATGAATAGACTGGAATTCTGAGTCACATCAACATTGGTAGCATCTCAGTCAAATGATAAACATCATACATCTGATCTCTTATACCACCATTTTTGCATTTGTATGCAGCAAATAAAAAGGTGCAAGAAAAAAGATAAAGCTACCTCTAAACCAAACCTTCTCTAACAACTAGATAAAAGAAAGGGTCCTTTGGGATTTAACAGATTATCGGAGGTCTCAGTGGCCTATGTGGATAGACCGGCAGATGCTGAAATACCAAAACAGCATGCCCAATGCTTGATAAAAATTAACGGGATAAAGAAGTCTTCTTGAGCCTATCCACTCCTTAGACATTAGAGACCACAGATCATGCCCAGTGTATTAATAACAATAAACAGGATGAAGAAGTCTTCTTAAGCCTATCCACTGTTTAAATATTAGGGTCCATAGGAGGTTTCTCACATTTTGAGTGGCAATTTTAGTGGCCAACTTTCCAGCAATAGAGGTCTGAATATGGGAAAAGGGTAATATTAGCAAAATCTTGAATACATTACTTGAAAAGCATATCAATATGGCATTTTGCCTCAACATCTAAACAGGAAAAGTGATCTAAAGAAGAGCACAATTTACCTTTTTTATTCGCCTCGGACCCCAAGTTGAGGACGACCATCTAGAACGGGAAAATGTTTCCGCATACAAGCCATCATGGATAAAGCCTCTGCAGTAAGCTACAAACATTGAAGACTTGCAGAAAACATGAACTTTAGGTTATTTATGTGCAATTTGGGGTAGCATGGTTGGTATTTTCTAATGAAAAGCCATGAAATCATTACAGCAACTAGTATAAAGACCATCAAGCTTCTTTACCAGAAATTGTGCATCCATGTAAGATTTTTTGGTTCGTTTTTGTACTCAGATAAGCAGCAGACAGAGAATTTCAAGTTATGCACCTGGTCTGAAAGTCAGTTATTACTGCATCAACAACCCAAACTGGAAATTCCTTCCCCAGCAGTTTCTTTCTTAGCTCCACAGCTGTATAAGCTCTAAAGGATAAATGCACAGTTTAGTAACAAAAGTTCATCAGTGGCATATATTGTGTAGCAAGATCGAGTTTGACTATTTAGTGACTTAAAATTTTATTACTAAGTAATGAATCTGAGGATAGAATAAAAACAGAAAAAGACAAAACTTTTTAAATTCTCCACATGAACTAAATTGGAAGCCATACTCATTTTCGAGTAGTGAACACATTCTCATGGCCATTGTAGCATGTTGCAGTGGAATTATTATAGTACGCTGGAATCAAATGACAGGACCAAACATAAGGTCCACTTCAGGACATGTAATAAGTATTAACATGGCGAAAATTGTCTCAGAAGTTACTCCTGCTCATATAAGAAATGCATAAGGTTGCCCATACTTAGCAGAAAATCAATAAACCTGTGAAGCTTTACCACCTCGTAGCAAGTAATTCAATGGCCAACTTCTCAACATCTTTCTTTATTCGAGATCCTTGAATCCTATGGTCTTGATTGCTCTCCTCTTCCGAAAAACCTTCGAGTTCCTCCATGACCTCGTAGCTGTCGTACTGCATATGATCATCAGGTTCTTCTCCAATCCCTAAAAATGGAAGATGTCGCTAAGTATCTCAATTGAACTCTACCAATCGAAAAAATATCTATGAGATAAGCGTATCAAAAGTCCTACCCAATCCAGCATCATAATCAATTCTTTTTGCATATTGGCTTTGAAACTTGTTATCTACAATACAAATCTGGCCACAGCTTGAAGTCTGTGCACTTTTGGAAAGATCACGTCTCTGTTCATTTGATTGAACAACTCTACTTGTACCAAATTCAATATTATTTTTTATGCTGTTAATTGGGTTTTCATTTTGATCTTGAAACTCAGTGTCCCCCACAAAGCTCCTGCTGCTGCATGATGTCTGCACACTCTTGGAAAGTTCACTTCTTTGTATATTTGATCGAACAGCTCTATTTGAAGCTGAACCAACATCACAGTCTAAGTTATCAATTGGCTTTTCATTCTCATTCAGAAACTCTGCACCAACAACAAAGCTTCTGCCACTGCATGAGGTTTGAGCACGTTTGGAAAGTTCACGTCTGTCCTCATTTGATCCAGCAACTGTAATTGTATCCAATCCAACATCAGCTTTCAAACTGTTAGTTGGCTTTTCGATTTGACTT